TCTCTCATATAATCCTTGGCATGTAAAACACACATCGTTTTGGTTACAAACATGAGAATTAGTAGGTGTGTAAACCTCAGGCTTTACTATATGAGAACAAGAATCATGGGCACAGGTTCATTAAAACTGGACAGTTGAAGATTAGAAACAAAAAATCACCTGGTCTTTTTCTAATCTTAAACTGTCCAGTTTCAGTGAGTCTGTGCTCATGATAGCCTCAGATTCCTGTTCTTGGCTGACAGGAGTGGAACCCAATGTGGTCTTCTGCTGTTGTGGCCCATCCAGCTAAAGGTCTGATGTGTTGTACATGCCGAGATGCTTTTCTGCTCATCACGGTTGTAAAGAGTGCTTATTTTAGTTACTATAGACTTCTTGACAGCTCAAGCCAGGCTGGTCATTCTCCTCTGATCTCTCTCATCAACCAGGCTGTTCAGCCTGCAGACACTCCTTACACAGGATGTTTTTTGTTTTTCGCACCATTCTGTGTAAACTCTAGAGACTGATGTGTGTGAAATTCCCCAGAGATCAGCAGTTTCTGAAATACTCAAACCAGCCCTTCTGGCACCAACAGCCATGCCATGGCTAAAGCCACAGCGATCACACTTCTTCCCCATTCTGATGTTTGATGTGAACATTAACTGAAGCTCTTGACTTGTTTCTGCATGATTTCATGCATTGTGCTGCCACGTGATTGGCTGTTTGGATAACTGCATAAATGAGCAGGTATACAGGCGTTCCTATTAAAGTGGATGGTGAGTGTATGGTTTGTAGCGTGTTCATTATGGCTACAATTCAGTGATTCTGGCTCGACATGAAAAGTGTATTAGTTAGAAGCAAAATAATTACCAAAGTGTGTGATTTCATCATGAATTTGATGGTTTTAAGGTTTCTAATTATCCGTTACAATATAAACAGATAAAAGCAATTCTGAATGGCACATACTTGTGTCCTCTCACTGTGTGGTATTACACATTGCAACTACTAGAAGGCAAAAACAATTCGACAGAGATGAGACTCTTCAGCCTTACTAACAATGGCCCTTTGACCCTGGGGCACAGACACACCATTAATAACAGCAAATCATTCTGTCTGACCTGCCATGGCAATGATGTCCCATGGGTGAAGGAGCCAAGGTCAGGAATTCCCACTTATACCCTAAAACATCATTAATTTCTACATTCAAAGAGAAGGCTGATTCTCAGAGCATCTGCACGGTTTCCTTCCTCTATACCATTTCAATACACATTACACAGCACCTATAAAAGCCAATCAGTGTGGTTTTATGGCTACAATGTATGCAAATTGGGTGTATTTACACACATCTTTAAAAATTGATCAACTTCTTCCAGAACATGAATCCTTCTGAAACTGCGTCCTGAGTCTGTGTGATGCTTTAATCATGGAATGTTTATGTGCACTTGTGGAAAAGTTTTCCTACTGATTGCCTGAGCAAGCTAGCCTGACTCACTGAGTTAACCTCTTTACAGTGTGGGAAACTCCTGTCCTTCTTCCTGGCAATGTTGTGCTCATACTGACTTAAGAAAAAGTTGGTGTCTCGGGAGACAGATCAAAGCTTATTTTTTATAGAAATGTCTCTATGTTCACATCTTGTGCTTATCTTTTTATGGATTCAAACAGTTCTGTTCCAGACAGGTTCATTTTGGCCGTGTACCAGAACGGTAGCCACCCACGATCCATATCTCCCTCACACACTCCAGTGATCAGACACCAATCTGAGGAGCCGCTGTTTATCCACAGTTTCAAAATGTGTGTGGGGAAAATCCATGATTTCTCAAATTGTTTCTCTTACTCCGTGGTTCTTAACATGGGGGCTGGGGACACACAGGAGTCTGTGAAGCATAGCAAGGGGACCTTGATTTTTTTTTTTATTTTGTTAGATGGTGGAAGTTGCAAGCCAACTTAATCAGAGTTATTATATTTATTACTTATTGTTATTAGGTTATTTGAAAGGACACTTGAATTGAATGGGCTTTATCCATACCTCAATAACTTAAATCTAATATCTAATGATCATTTTAATATAATTGCTTTCTGGGAGTGGAAAGTTTAGGAATATATTGCCACAATATTATTGTTTAAATAATAAGCGGATTATTTAAATCTTGGGATTATGTTCATAAAATAAATCTGTACTGAGAATTTCCATTAATTTTTTTCCCCTCACAGTTAATTGGTGGAGGTGCATCAGGCACCCAAAGAAGGTCACAGCATGTTCAGTCTAAGACGAAAGGCACAACACAGCAGCACGCAGAGAGACATCCTGCATATTTGAACTGAATTGAGGTCAAAGGCTTGCTGGGGTCAAGAGGCCTGACACTAAAAGGCTATGACGAGGTCATAAACCGCAGCCGTTAACATAAGAGAGAGTGCATTGTTCAAATGTGCTGAGAGCAGGTGAATACGTGACCTCTGCTCTCATTTGAACCCGGAGAACACTATAGTGAAATCTCTGATCAGTCTAATACCGTGTGTATTATTAAACCTACATCTGTAACCATTAAACTTACCACCACATAAATGTTCATTCGAGAAGTAACTTGTTCCAGCATTTTAGGATTAAACATCAGCATCCTAGAAATGATCAAGCCTCTTTTATAACATTAAATCAACTATAGGATGCATCAATAGCACTGGTTCTGGAAGTGGGGTCCAGGGACCACCAGGAGTCTGTGAAGTATAGAAAGGGGGATTGTGATTTTTTAATTTTGTTACAGTGGTTGAAATCACAACCCGCCATTATTAAAGCTATTATACTTCTTTTTGAGTTCTTACAGTTATTAGCTGACTTGACTGGATACTTAAAAGGAATGGATTTAATCCCAACCTCGAAAGCCTCAGTGTAACTCGAAAACAAGTAGGCGTATAAATAATGTCAAGTTGGACCTAACGTGTTCTGACAGAGGAAAGATCAGGAACAAAAAGCTGCCTAGTTCCAGTAAATAGCTAGAATATCAGTGGACTCATTTATATACTGAGTTTAATATTTGAATACTTGGATTATGTTCAGAAAATATATCTGTATTGAGAAGGTTGGTGGAATTTATTTCACAGATAAAGTTGTCTCTCGCTTAAGAAAAAAAAAAAAAATCTGTAACACTTTCCCCACCCTATAGAACAATAATTGAGTCTACTTTGGATGCAGTCTACTTCACTGAGGTTTGATCTTTTCTTTGTCCAAACAATATTCCTGAAAGTTGAAAGACATTCTGTGCAATTTGAGAGCACATTACTATTGTAGTGAGGAGGGAAAATTAAACATGGAACAAGAAGAAAAAAAAAATCCATGCACACCTTCTGTGACCTTAACTGGAAGAGTAAACTCAATTCATAAATTTACGGTACAACATAAGGCACATGTACTGGCCTGACCAAGATTAACCTGACATCTGGATTGATGCTCGATGCTCCACCTCTGTTCACTCATGCACTCAAAGCAGTTTGATCAAAGTACCATCAAATACCAAAAAGCTTTTTAATACACTTACCTGCAGTGCTGTTTTGGCATCCTAGCTCCTTGTCAAGTCAATCACAATGTCACTAATCTTCTACACATCTGGATTAGGAATCATTTAAAACAGTCTGGGAATTGTGAAATCCCGGTGGTGTGTATTCTCAACCAGAAAGTGCGCTTCATGACATCCATAACAGATCCATAAGAGATGAAACACTTTTCTTTTGGTTCTGTTTAGTTATGAACCAGAGCAAAAGTCCACCATTTGTCTTCTCACATCTGCGGTGTACAGGAAAGTGAATGTAAAATCCAGGACAGGGGGCTCTTCTGGAAGCATGAAGTGGTTAGAAGGAAATCATCCTTGTTTTTTTAGGGGTGCCAGGTGCTCTTTTATCAGCCAGTACAACTCCAACTCAACATCAACTGACAGCCAGGAGCTGATTTGTGGCAATCCAATGACACATGGACTTTAAATGGAGCAAGAGCAGATCACTTGCCATCACCACCATCAGCAGATCTGCTTTAAACATGGATCTGGTGGTGCTTTGAAGAAGTTTATTCTCTTAAAGCTGCTCATTGGGACTGCTGTGTGGATATCACCTTGGAAATGAGACAACAACAACAACAACAACACAATTAAATTCATCAACATTTGATTAGGAATCAGAACATGAATATAGCTCTAACTTACTGCTATTCAGTCTTAATGAGTAATGAGTAATGAGGAACGCTTTGAGCAGTTAAACAGAAGTTAATATAAAACGATAAAGCAGTGAAAGTTGGTATAAAGTCTTTGGAAACACGTATTCTGTGCGAGTTTACCTGCAGTGTGTGACAGGCGGTTTGTAGCACAGCGCCTCTGCTCCTCACCTGAGACTCGCCTCCACTCACTGCCTCTCAGCTCCACGCAGGGTTGCCAGATTTCACCGGTTTCACTCCAAAGCGGGTCCCGGGTTAAGCTACGTTCACACATACAGCGATTTTCTCACTGCAAGTCGCCAGTCGCAGTACTATGAAGTCATCAGTAGGTGTTCCTACTACTGGTTGCCATAGTAACGTTTATCAGGGCGTGGCGCAGCTAGCACTGTGTTTTTGACAACAAATCAGATTTCTTGCGGCTAAAATTAAACATTCTGGAGGGAGAGCGTTTGTATATAAAATTCACCGGTGTATATGTGCATCATATCATAGGAGAGGAAGGAGAAGCAGTGTGTGCTCTTGACATCCAAAACGCAAGCGCCAATTAGCATAGCTTATGGCCTTTAAAGCAAAATAATAATAATCTTGTGAAGCGAAGTGACGTGTGGCCAAGTATGGTGACCCATACTCGGAATTTGTGCTCTGCATTTAACCCATCCAAGTGCACACACAGTAGTGAACACACACCCGGAGCAGTGGGCAGCCTTTTTTTGCTGCGGCGTCCGGGGAGCAGTTGGGGATTTGGTGCCTTGCTTAAGGGTCTCACCTCAGTCGTGGTATTGAGGGTGGAAGAGAGCGCTGGTCATTCACTCCCCCCACCTACAATCCCTGCTGGACCTGAGACTTGAACCTATGACCTTCAGGTTGCAAGTCTGACTCTCTAACCATTAGACCACGACTGCCCCATCATCATCATCATCATCATCATCATCATCATCATTATTATTATTATTATTATTATTATTATTATTATTATTATTATTATTATTATTATTTTGTTACAATCGAGCAAAATCCCAGTGTAGAATAACCAGTGTGTCATTCACTATCTTTTCGATGGTGACCGGAATCCAGGAGCCGGCCCACAGATCCTCGGCTGCAGCCTCCGTGTTTCCCGGGTGAAGTGTCCGGCTTGGTGCTACTCGTTCCCATGCACTGGAGCCGCACACGTTGGCCTCAGATCCTTGCTCCTACTGCTAGCGAGCACAGGACGCTGGGGATCCTGTGCCCTCTACTGTCTTCACTCCCATTGGTAGTCGCTGTACCAAGTCGTTCAGTATTTACGTAAAGTTAAACATTTCTCAACTTTGTCCCGTCACTGGACATGCCCACATCTAGTCACCAACGGTCGCTGTCGTTCATGTCACCAGAAGTCTCCAGTTCTCGTTGAAAATAAATGGTCTCCGTTCGCTTTGTCTCTGTGAGTGGCTGTATGCGTGAAGGTAACTTTAAGGGACGTTCAATTAACGTTCACACATTCAGTGAATCGTCGAGAGAAGTTGAGAAAAGTTCAACTTTATGCAAATTTGGAGTGACTTGGTGAAGCAACTACCAATGGGAGTGAACACAATAGAGCGCACGGGATCCGCGGCTTTAAACATGCTAAGGCCATAAGCTAAGCTAATTGGCGCTTGGACTTTCGCCACAGATAGATGACCGCAATGGCAAAGAGCACACACTGATTCTCCTTCATCTCATATGATGTGATGCACATATACACTGGTGAATTTTATTTACAAACGCTCTCCCTCCAGAATGTTTAATTTTAGCCGCAAGAAAACTGATTTGCTGTCAAAAGTGGAATGCTAGTTGTGCCACCCACTGACAAATGTTACTATGGCAACCAGTAGTAGGAACGCCTACTGGCAACTTCATAGTACAGCGACTGGTGACTTGCAGTGATAAAATCGCAGTATGTGTGAATGTACCTTTAGAAAGCCTCTCTATTCCTCTGTAAATTCATCATGAGGACATCGACTCCATACAGAGAATGGCCTCGAATATCCTTACAGAGGGACACAAGCAATGTGAACCACAGGTTAGGTCATTAGTTGTGATAGTTTTCTCTTAAAATTGCAAGAGAAGTGAAACACAGGACAGAAAGACCAGCTTGGAAATGACACATGTCAAAGAGAAAGTTATTCATTCATTCATTCATTCAGGTGCAAGACAGACATGTCATGTTTTTGGGAGGTGGGAGGAAACTGGAGAACCCTGAGGAAACCCACACGGATACAATGAAAACATGTGAAACTCCATGTTTCAAATGCTGGGTTCGAGATGAAGCGAAGTAACGTGTAGCCAAGCATGGTGACCCATACTCGGAATTTGTGCTTGTTATCTGTCTATCTATCTATCTATCTATCTATCTATCTATCTATCTATCTATAATCCATGAAATTTTCCATCACTCCAGACTAGTCAGCATGCACTAGGGTACCAGTGCATGATCACAAAAAAGTGTACAAATACTTTTCAGTTTTTATACGTATATGAGAACATTTTCAAGTCATTTTTTATTTTTCTTAAGATCCTGTTTTGCACACTACTTTTAACATAAGAATAAATCCATGGAATGTAAGAACAAATCTGATCGAAAGAATGGTTTAGAAATGCGATCCCTGAAACTGAAATTTTGTGATATCATGTCTACTAGGCATCAGATAGTGCTGCCGCCTCACACCTTTAGGGTCCCCGGTTCGATTCTGAGCTGGGGTTAATATTTGCGTGGAGTTTCTGTGCATGCTCTCCCTGTGTCTGCATGGGTTTCCTCCAGGTTCTTCCTCTTATCTCCAAAAAAACATGCAGGTGAACTAGCCAGTGTTCGGAGGATAGGCTGAATGAATGATTGAATAAATGAATGAATGATTGTGGTGGTAGGGGTGGTGGCTCAGTGTTTAAGTGCTGATCAGCAGGTTGTGAGTTCACTGCTGGGCCCTTGAGCAAAGCCCTTAACCCTCAAATGCTCAGTTGTATAAATGAGATAACTGTAAGTTGCTCTGGATGAGGGAGTCTGCCAAATACCATGAATGAGGACCAGTCAGAGGCTAGTCTCTTCCAGCACGTGGTTAAACATATTCCAACTGGGGAGTAAAAATACCAATCTGGCAACCCTATCACTACTAAACACGCCCGTTTAGACAGTATTGTTTAACGAGAGACACGAGGAGCACTGTATTTAGCCAGACTAGTTATCACCTGTTTTCATCCTTTTGATATTATTAATATACATGCATCAACATATTATCTGGAATTAAGGGTTGTACAAAAGTAAAAAAAAAAAATCCAAACACTGAAGTCGAAACCATCATTTAGTACTCAATCAATTCAATATAATGAGAAATTCTAAGGCAAAAGAAATATTCATTTCATAATATGACCAAGTTTAAATCAGAGTATTACTGAAGCTTACTGGATGAACAACATGGTTCAGTTTTAACCAAGAATATATCACAGAAAGACTTAATGTAGCTCATCAAATTAACAGAAGCCACTGATTATTTCACTTAGAGAAGTTATTCAGTGGCTTGGAAAATGTACAGTAAAATTTCCACTATTAAAAGAACAGCACCAGTTTTGAACGGACTTTAAGTTTGTTTGTCTCCTGCTGAACACTGTGTGTGTTAATTCAGCCCTGCTGTTTTTTTTCTGCAAGTGCTCTAAAGACTGAATCTGACACACAATATAACATTCTTCACTTCCCAGAAAGGTTAATCAAAGGACAAAGGAGAGGCACTATTATGAATCAGTGTTTTGCTAGATAGTCAGGAGCTATTTGTAGAAATCAGTGACACGCCTGGCTGATATATATCACTTCTGACCGTAAACACCACAACAATGGACGGCCGTCGTGCAGCGTTTGGCAGCTGTTCCAGCAAATCCTCAGACATGCCTGATCTCCAGCCATGGAAACCATTCCTAAAATAGACCAGATCAGCCTCAATTCACCATCAGCTGCACACCGAGCATTGTCACGTCTATCCTCGGAAAGCCCTTTTTGTGAAAACAAGGCTAAGTGCTTGAAGCATTTCTTCTAGAAAGTGATTGCTGAGGCACCCGGGGCCTCCTCTGACCTGTTCCAGCTTGCAGAGACATTTTCTGTAGCAAGTGTATAACATCTTTAGGCTCCTCAATGAGCACACCTCAGACTAATATGATACTTATCAACAGAAATCCATGGAGATGAGTCACAAATGCACACAAATGGCAACAGTTGCCTATAAGCAGGATGAGTAACAGCATACGGATTCCATCTGGCCTTATCTAAAATTCAGTAACGGTTTGTGAAATACATAATGAAAGTTCTTTTGCTTATCAGTCCCAGAGGAAATGAATATCTGATGATGCACTATTAAGTTTCTGATAAATGTGTTAAGGCTTTCTAGGTCATGTCTCAGGTGATTGAAATACAGCCATCATTAGCTGTGAGCTGTAAAAAACAAGCAGGGCCCTACTTTATTGCTACAAGGTGATGAGGAACAAGGAGCTGACAGTGGGTGAGGCACAACACACTCTTTACTTGGCAATATATTGGACAAATACCAGTCAGGACACAAAGACAGGATATGGAGAGGATGGTTTTATGAATCAGTTTTTTGACACACATTTAAGAATTGGATTGTTGTGAGTGTTAAATTTGGAGAATTGAAGATGGTAAAGGAATACTCCACCATTTTACAACCTAATCTCCATCTATAGCATCTGGAGCACATGTGCTATTAACGCAGATAAAATTTTTTGACGTTTTCCTGCACTGAGAAAAGAATGGAAAACCTAAGTCTAAGGGCAGTTGTTGAATCCCATCAATAAAGGTTAATACAAAACTATTTTGTAGAATGCTTTTATGAAGCAATGATATTTGTGTAACTGCACAACTGATGCTTTAAGAGATGGGAATACTTTTTCAGAGGGAAAAGTTACAGTAATCCTTTTTACAACAACATTAGAACAGTATTAGATCAACTCATGTCTGTCTCATCATCAGAGCTTTATTTATAGATGGTTTTCACATTTGTGTTTTTGTTTCCCAGACTCTGGATGGTTTGAGCCCAGATTTTGGTACATTTGCTGAAGTGTGAATGCTGTTTTTGAGCTCAGGAGCAGTCCAGAGTACCGATCACTGGTCCTCCTGAAAATGATGGTCTGGGGTTTGCTTCAACCAAATCCTGGTGCAGTCCACATCAGGTGTGGAAGCTATCCTCACTCAGCACCACATGACAAGAAATGAGTTCAACTTGTCATGTTACTTCTTGTTTCTACATTCTGGATTCCGGTGAAAGGGTTATTATACCTATTGATATACATATAAAACTATGACTATGATCCCCTCCCCCAACTGTGGCCAGAATCAGTACTGGGTGTGGACTCAGGTATTCAGACTTAATGTGAAAATGGCCTTAGTGTGTAATATAGTTTAGAATTTGCTTATATAGTCACCTATTTTAAACAACTGCCCTTAGGCTTTCATTATAGGTGAGTTCCAAGTCAGCAGGTTTTCTGTCCTTTTTTCATTTCAGAGACACATGTCAAAAATTCTTGTCATTGTTGATCACACAAAGCTACAGATGCTGTAAACAGAGATTAGGTTGAAGAAAGCTTAAGTATACCTTTAAGTGTACATTGGCAATAAAATGAAAAACCTGCATTCATCTGAGTGTCGCTCATAATACTTTTTGACACCAAACTAGATCTTCTCAGGCTCCAAAATCTCAGTTATTCTAAGACAGCCAGTCAGTTGTTCTCAGATGCAGAGAGAACCTGCATGTCTGCAGTGCTAATCCTCCAGACTCTGACATCAACAGCTGTCCTCACCTTGCGAGTCCAGGAACAGAATCCTTCCAATAACGTGCCAACATCTCTCCATCTCTCGCCATGCTTCTCGCAGGAGCTGACTGTTTCAACA